AAAATAAAAATAAGGCTTATCACAATAAAATCATATTATTCCAATCATATTATCTTATCACTTTGAAACCAAAGTCTAATCATGTTAGAAGACATGTGATACCATGTAAGTGCTAAAGGTAGGAAATGGTGTCATGCTAACTTTAGAATGGTACAAGTTATTATTAGAAAATCTTTTTGGAATGGTGATGATGTTATTATTAGAAAATCTTTTTGGAATGGTGATGATGTTATTATTAGAAAATCTTTTTGGAATGGTGTGATGATGACTTTAATTCCCCATTTTAGTGGATTTTTGTGACAAAAAAGAAAGAAATGATAGTTTATAGGCAAGTGTTGGTAAAATGTTGGTAATGCATTTCCCATATTTCTTCCAGACATAGCCAAAGAGTAGCAATGTATTTCCAAGTTGCATCTAAATACTACCCAACAGTAATAATCCATTTGCAGGTAATGTATTACGCTAGTAATATATTTCATAGACAATATATTTCCAGGTATCCAAATGACCCCTTAGAGTAAAATGGAGAGAAAAAATATGAAATTTTCTACAAAAGTTTCAAAATTTTAAAAGATAGAATCTTTTTAAAGCATTAAGGAAAAAGCATTAAGGAAATTATAAAATCACAAGTGAATTACAGAATAAGATTATACACATGAAGTACTTCACTAAGGCACTAACTCATTAAGCAATAAACAATTGAACATTGCATTAAGGGCATTGTTCAAGTAAATTAGTAAAGTGAATTCCATATGCATACAAAACCCCAAAACATAATTTTCACACTTGCTCTCTCACAAAGCCACAAACAACGAAGCAATCCAATATTATAAACCATGGCCTTCAAAATCTGATAAGATTATATAATCTATGAATGATAAAACAGAAAAATGCAAATCTTATGTAGTCATCATCTTCATCTCCTTGTCATCTACATCATTACCACCTTTGTCATCATCACCATTGAAACCCATTAGATCTTCATCTCCACTACCCATGAGAAAATTTATTTTACTGACAACCATAGTATAAGCATACTTGCATAGATGCCTAGGAGTCCTGGATATAACCAAAAAAATATTTAAAAATCCGAATTCCAGCTAGTTATCTAGAATATATTCCATGCCTTTGAGGACTGATTACTTTTTCTCGATAACCCATTCAATAAATTTGATTTTCTCTAAATCAACAGTGTATTAGCATGCTGGCCATTGAAATTTTCTTGATGTTTGACATTATTACAGAACTCCACAATTATATCATAATGGAAAATATCGTAAGAGCCTATTACCATAATTTGCTGTCAATTTATTACATGTTATTACCTTTGATTCAATCTCAGTTTATATTACACGAAGACTAGGTCATTGAGCCTTTTATGTTCCAACCTTGCTCACCTATCCATATGGATGCATTGAAACACACTCCTAATTCCTTGATGATCCCTTGCACTGCAAGTTTTTCTGAGGATATGAATGATGAACTTTCGAAGATTAGGAGTTACACCATCAAATCATTTCCACCATCCTGCTAAACGAATAATATAGAAAACAATATGAGATATTTTAATTTATATAAACTTTAAGATATAGACACTATAAAATCAATCTATAGATTGTAAAAGAGGAATAATGGAACCTTGAACTTAGAAGAGGTGATTAAATTACCTCGGAGGATATCATCACAAGTGTTTACTCCCAGCTTTCGCCCAGCTCATCTCCTTGCCAATCCTCACTTGCATATACTGATCAGGATACACCTGTCATGATATGCATGCCATTTGAAATCTTTGGATAGGTGAAAAATGTGGATTTTTTAAGAGAATATTGGGTTCAGCCAATAAGCAGCTGCATGTATCATGCAGTAAACCTGCTAATCCCTACTCTTATCAATAATCTCCCAAATTTTTTCTTTTGTATACTTGGATTTCTTGTACTTAAAAGATGCGACAATGGCCTCCTTAGCCATACCCATTACCTCAAAAGTACATCCCATGATAGGCTCAGTACCATGTCTACTCTCCTTGAACGTCACCAAGGGCTTTTTGACTCGAATCACATTGATACTGTGATCCAAAATTGGCTGCTCAAAATCAATTTCACCATGGTCTTCCCACTTCTCTTTCTTGCCCATACAGAATCTAGCTAAGCTGTTGTAGTAGCCATAACTCTCAAGCCATCCTTCTGCTATTGTTGCTAACCTTGTAATTGCAGGCCTTACTTGTTCTCCTCCATTAGGGTACTTCCTTATTAAATTGATGACAACTGAATGGTTGTGGATAAACGCTCCAATCAATTTAGCTATATATACAACTTCTGTTATGTCCTCCGTCTTCCTAATGTCTTCAAGTATTAATATCATCATTATCAAAGCCTTTTCCCTACTATTGGGTTCGGCTACATGAATCGCGGTCTGCCATTATGTGATATTAAAGGCTATACCCTCAGTGAGGCCACAAGTCCCCATATATTTTCTAACTACTTCCAACCATGTCCTTTTGGGCCCACCTTTTGCCCTTTTTGAGCCTTCCACTTGAATTGATTCACACCTCTAACAGGTGCTGTACTGGGTCTGCGCTGTACATGGCCAGCCCACCTAAGTTTACTTTCTCTCATCTTAGTGTCTATTGGTGCTACACCTAAATTCTACCAAATGTAGTCATTTCAAATTCTATCCCTTCTTGTCTTGCCATTCATCGATCTCAACATCCTCATCTCAGCTACACTCATTCTATGGGTATATTGTTTTTTGACCGCCCTATAAACTAAAGCAGATCTTACAACTGTACCTACAGAACTTTCCCTTCAGCTTCATTGGTAATGCGGCGAGCACATAAAACTTTGGTCTAAGAAGGGTAAGGACCTTCAACTTTCCTTTAACCCGTCCCAAGCCTGGATAAAGGGGGTGGGTTGTATTAGGTAGGTACGCAACATAAAACTTTGCCAAAACTTTTCATGAATCCAGAATATAATGTCTTCAAGTATTAGGTTTACGCAATAAGCAACACATGAAGTCGAAAATATCGCAAGGTAGAGATCTTACAGC